TCGACAAAATAGCTCGTTTACTTGATGGAAATGGTTACGTTGTGGGCGGAGGGTGGGGGGGGGGCGAGATCGCTCGCCAACACATTTCGCTTTCTCTGATCAAGGCTTAGGCTTAATGTTGTATGTTGTCTTTTCTGCTGGTCTACACCCGTCGACTCTGATCGTCTGCGTTTTAAGCCTGAGGTTTTTCGGGGAAAGATTCGACGACCGAGTTGTTCTCCCAACTAGTTTAGCGCTACACACATTAATGGAATGCATGAAACTTTAACCGACTTGCGCCTCCTACATTCATCGTGTTAAAGAAGGCGGTGACCTAATCCCATTTTGCGCCCCAGTGCAAAATCTATAAAGGGACTGAAGTGTGCAATTACGGTGGGTCACGAGGCGAATGAGAGGTAGAACATATGATGAATCAGCCGGTTCCGTCGCTGATCCTTGCACTTGGGGTGGTGGTGGCTTCGGATTTCTTGGCAGGTTCTTCGCAAGTTGTCACCGATTGGCTTCACTCGCTCAGTCGGTCGGAATAATCCAGGATAGCTCTCTGTCTGTCGAAGTTCCCAGAAAGTGAGCCCTTGTAACGGTTTTTATGCTCCTCTTTCTCTAGATGGTCAAACGCTTGAAATTCAGGCACGGTTCTGTTCTGCTAGTCTTATCTAATTGATCGACCCTTTATCTGCATGGACCGTGAGGCATTCGTTAAAGGGCAGGTGAGCTTCTCTTAGTACGGAAATTTCTCGATCGATTTGTGAGCTAATTTTTATAGCTCGAAGCAGTTCATAAAGCACTCACCAAATATGAAGTGCCCCTCAAACCAAAACACGCACGTCGCCTCATTGTTGGGACTCACCAGGAGAGGTAAAAATAATTTGTGAAAATTCTCGATGGTACCCACCAAGCATGAGTTCGTTCTAGGTCCGCAGCAGTGTTTTGGAATGCTGTCAATCGAATTCAATTGGAGAAAAATCCTGTTATGACATGGAAGGTAATGATGTTGACCTCTAGAAATATCTGGGATAATTTTTTTGGAGTTTGTTGTCACATCGTTTGCTTATTTTAGTTCTGCCATCTTCTCCATAAACTGATTCGTGACGGACATAGGAAAGTACCTGATGAATCTCACAGGTTTGAATTGAGTTTTATATCATAACATATGCGAATTCACCTGACGGTAGCAGGTAGTAGTAAATGATTTCTACGCTTTGACAACGATTTTGGCTGCAGCGTTTTTGTGAGAACCGCTGGTGGTCCTTTATGAGGGTAACTCTGTTCTGTTAAAGAATGTAGTTTCACGTCTTACAAGGGAGATTTTGGCTCAAAATTGTTGTTTCAAACATGGGAAGGGAAAGCTTCCTTGACACTGGCGTTGTTGAAGAGGCAGGGGTGGGGGGGGGGAGAAGACTATTTGTTGACGCCCCTGTATTTCTTCCTCCCAAAACGCTGTGGCTCAGAGCGCGGATGACCAGTTGCCAAGGGATAGCTCCGCGGTGAAAACACAGTCTCTACTGAGCCTAATTAGAAAAGGATGAAGACATGCTCGAAAAGTTTTCAAAAACAGCAGTGGTTTGTTTCGTCCGTGACCTAAGCTTGAGTAGGGGAAGGGATACGGAAGCGTTGGCAAGTTGTCTTCTTCCTTCAACTTCGTTGACGCCGTCTCCTTTCCCGAGCTTCGGTACAAGAAGGCTGAATGTCGCACAGTCGTGACAACTGAATTGCGGAGTTTCCAGTGAGAGGGCACGTCGTTCGCTGGGGAACCCAGTGAAGAGGAGGAGGATAGGGTCATGGGGTCGTTTTCCGATGGACCGGAGAGAGGAGGATCGCATTTGCCTGTGAGAAGAATGTTTCCGATTGTTATATATTCTCGGTTTTCCTGCTTCAAGTTCACTGGTACCAGCTTCTTCGCCCAACTGCAGTGATTGGGTAGAAAACAAAAATATCATTGAAAACTGGGAAAAAGTGTTTAAAAGTTGGAAAAGTCAATAAGATGGTAGGTAGGATGAGGAAGGAGAAAGGGGTCATCCTAGTGAAGAACTTGAAGGGGGAGTCGTATTTTCCCCCAACAGCAGGACGTGCCCTATTCATTTGTAAAGGGTTGATCTCACATAATAGATTGAGCTTACGTCCAGCTTCTGTACTAGATAGACTGGGTGGCTGTTGCTGAATTGCTCAGTTTTAGTTTGTCAGCTAGTTTACTGATGAGATTGCAGGTTTTTGTCGAGGATAAAGCAGCTAGGACAATTTTGGAAGCATCTCAATACGTCAGGGTATGGAATATGCAACGAAACATATACCAAACTACTTGCAGAAAGGCTCGAATTCCATAGAAAGGTCTTAACCGTCATTCAAATGGAATGATATGGAAAATTATCACTTGTTTTCAGTACCCTGTGATGCCGGGCAGTCTTATTCTTACTGAATCTCAAATCAAAACCCTTGAAAGCGATTTGGACAACGCTTTTGAGATGACAATTGATATGTTGGATCAAATGGACAATTTGCTCAGTTTACAGTCGAACGGTCAGTGGTTAACTTCGATTTCACTCCTCGCTATCTCCACTATGTACAATTTGCTTCGTTTGTTTGCTTGTACGTTTCTCCTGTTGTTTTTTAACTTTTTCGTGTTTCGTTATTTCTTGATCTGTTTTTTTTTTTTTTTATTATTTTTTTCTATTATTTTGGATGTTAGTTGTTTCTGGTTGTCAATGTATCGGTCTTTTGTGTTTATGCGTGTTTATGTTGTGTGCTATAGATTGTTTTATATAGCGCTACACTTTATTGTACTTCTCTTTTTTTTTGTCTTGTATAGTTTCTTAACTTGCTTCTTATCTTTTTTGGTGTCGTTTTTTTTCTTGTCCTTTTTTTTTTTGGATAATGGCGGCCTTAACCGTTTTTGTGCTTTTGGTTGTGTCTTTTTTTTTATTTCACATCTAATATATTTCTATTATCGTTTTTCAGTTTTGTTATGCTCATATGTTTATTGTGTTTGTTAAATATTATATAATATTTTGTTGAATATTTTTTAGTTGCAGTTAGTTTGTTTTTTTTTTGTTTTTTCGGTTCTTTTTAGTATTCTTTATATTTGTTTTGTGTGTATTTCTACTCATCATTTTTTTTTTTTCGGTATGTAGTGTGCGTTTGAGTTATGATTGGGATGTAGATTTGTGTAACGTTGGACTTCCCATGGTGTTTAATTTTTTTTTTGTAGGCTTTTGTCGGATCGAGATATAGTTTGAAAATCGCAAAAAAGTTGATGGGGAAAAGGGGCTTCTAGCGAAAGTTGGTTTGCAAATCAAGGGATGTTAACAAGATAACCAGACTTTTTTGCAGTGTACGATGCCATGGAATGTCTTCGTTGGAGCTCATTAGTTCCTCAGGGGCAGTGCCTCCTTGCACCACTAATTTTAGTCATACTCGACACAAGCAAGTTTTATGACTATCTTGTGAAGATGATTTTCAAATTACATGGACAGTTGCCTCCTGATGCACTTGAAGGGCACCGTACCAGATTCAGGGTGAGCTTTCTATTACTTTGAAAATATCTATTTATCGAATTGCGGTAAATTCCTACCTCATTATTAATACCTGTGTAATGTGGCAGTAGCGATTCCAGCCTTTTATATCTTACAAGGCTACAATTTTCTCAATCTCCCCTCCGTTCTCCTGTTAGGTGAATTATCTGAAGGAGTTGTATTGTGTCAGTCGCACTAAAAGAAGTCATATAACTAGTTAGTAATGGGTCAAAGCGCTGGTCTGCTAGAGGGGAAGGGGGCATTCCGCAAACTAGCTTGAAACCAGATGGGCAGCTACAGAGTTCGGTGAAGTCCTGTACACTCCTGTAGAGCTGCGAAATGGTACGATTTTGGCTCTTGCCGCATTATAGTTTTCAGAAATACGGAAAGTAAGTCGGAAGGCGTTGCAAAGGAAAGGTCAGGTTTCCGGGATAGGGAGCCACTTTTCAACGTATGTGAGGACCTTTTTTACACCATGGAATTCGAACACTCGGAGCTCATTACTTCTGAGATTAGGCGAAAATCGTCATCCTCCAGGCTCTCTATTTCTTCGCATTTTCCTACCCTGAATATCGTTCAATACACACTGGAGAGGTAGTAATAAAATTGGTACCATTTTGTTGCTTTGCAGTAGTGCGCACGTCTTGAGGAAACTGCTTGATGATAATAGGAGTTTGCCAATGACCCCCTCTGCGGATTTCCATATTGCTCAGTAAATAAAATGTACAGTACGTGTTTCGTTCAGTCCTGGTTTCCCGTGTTTTTATGGTATCGTCATCGTGCGAATGAGTAATCGTTTATGTAAATGGAAATTCAGCCTCTAAACCCCTCTCTAGCTCAAACTACGGGCGTTTTTTAATCGAGGGGTTATACGAAATCACCCTTTCCTTCTCAAACAGCAGCTTTTCAGGAAGTGTTCCGGCGGACGAAGAAGTTTTATGAAGAGTCTAGCAATCTACAGTACTTCAAGTACTTGGTTTCAATACCAACGTTGCCCTCGGTATGGTTCTAGTGTTCTCTCATCAATTTTTATTCATGAAAAACCTTCAGGCAGCACCCAATTTCCTTCAAGCATCGGATTTGGACAGTTATCAGACGCCACATGCCTACCTACATTCTGAGGGATCTGAAGATGGTCAATCAGTTGCTGCCGATGAGGTCCTGCTGGATCTCGGTTCAGATGAGCCAGAGCAACGATTTGAGCAGCAGGAACGTCCTTCAAGTCAGTCGGACCCGAGGTTAGTAGCGCTCTAATTTTAGGTCATTGTGCCAGTACTGGCTTTTCGGTTTTGAAATATTTATTTGTTTACTTGATGCTTTCGTTGGTGCGCTTTTACAAATCTGTGGTGCTACTATGCCCATATGATCAAAGAATCTGAAATAAACTGTATAGAAAGGATAATGGAAGCAATGGCACCACATAAAAAGCAACTGTAATGGATAGGGAGCTTCCAGTCAGAATAGAGTGAGGAAAGGCATAGATATGTAGTATATATGTAGTTGATACATTGTTTATAGGTTTGCTGTGGAGCACGTAAACAAAACCAAGTTCGATGAGCATTATCTTTGGTAGTAGGCGCATGACGCTAGGGAGAACGACACCCCCCGACAAGCGGAGTGTATGCGTGGAATCAGAGACTGAGTTTTCGGATGTTGGGAATCCCCTACCCTTAAATTCAGTTTCCGACCCGCCTTTAAAAATCTTCCGAAGAAACTGAATTTGTGAAGAATTACAGTTACATTTCATTGTGCCATTGGACATACTGGAATGACTTCATCCAATACATCACAATATCTACCGCAACAAAAGCAGGTACCAATGATAATAAACCATAAGTGTTAGTATCTGCTGAGAATTCTACTCATTTACTCACGAGGTCTTCATATTTTGTTTCTGTTTTCGATGCCTTTCGTAATACCATCGGGTGTTCGCTTACCACATTGATTTCGTAGACTTGACTGGCATAAGTTGCCAGTCAAGCCAGCAGTTGCGTGGCTGGTCACCCTTCTGCTATCGACGTAGAAATCATGTGCTCGAGAACGTGTTTCTGGATAAGCGATGTGTCGCATTACTCATCTCTGAATTCCGTGATAACTCCTTTAAACTGTAAAGACAGCTCTCGCGATAAAAGTGTCGCGGATAGTTGCTTTTCAATTATGAAACAGTAGCTGATAAGTAATCCCCCGAAGAATAAAAAGCAAGAAGAGTTCTCAAGAACACCATAAACAAAATCGCTCCCTGGCAGTCACACCTTCCTGCGGCCCTGGCTCACAAATCTCTCTATCACATCTCGCAGTAGTTGATATCACTGCAAAGAAAAGAATACAAAAAACAACAAAAACACAGAGTAAAAACTCTTGAAAAGAAAAAGAAACTTTCAAAAACTCGACGTCCGAATTTAGGGTTACGGTAGCGTGCATATTTTAGTGTAGTGAAGTGCGTCGAGCTTTTGCACCACGAAAATTGGGTCGCTCGTGATTTTTACGCGTTTTACCTTGCGAAATGGGTTGGAGTTGACTGTATGTGCCCCTAATGAATAAAATGTAATAAAGGAGAGCAGAATTTCATGGGCACGAGCGCGGTCAGCGAAAAGGGCATGCGATTCCGATTAATGCCCGCCGCCCCAACAAAGAACAACTGAGCGGCCGTCAGAGGGCATCTAGCAAGTGGGCGGTCCAACTGGGCGGCAGAACTAGAACTTTCAGCGGCTGTAGCTCGCTAATCGCTCGCTGTGGAGTTGCGAGAGTGGGACAGTCTCTAGCTTGGGGGCTGTACTACTTGCACAAGGAAGGACGACCATGTACTACTTGAGCGCGGTGCTGTCTTCAAACAGTATTAGGGAGCTGTTTTCCACTCAGAACGACGGAAAATGTGGCTCCTGGATATAAGTATTTTTCAAAAGAACAGTTTGAATTGCGTCTATGTTCTGACTTTAGGGACGAACAGATTTTGGCGTTAACGAGGGATCTCGAAGATGAACGATTCGCGAAGGAGCGACTAATTGCGGAGGCACGTTCTCGTATCGAACAATATGAGAACAGGCTGGCTCAAATGCAGGGTGATTATGAACATGCACGACGAGAAGCTGACGAATCTCGCGAAGAATGTGAAAGCTTGAAGCGTAAGTGACTCACTTAGCATCTCCTATCACTTCAGCTTCTTCGTTTGATTTATGCCTTCAGTTAGTCCCAGTTGAATATGTGGTTTTCTGTAAGATTCTGATTATAATAGCTTCCTTTAGGTGATTTGGCCGCTAGAGATGCTCAACGCGGGGAGAGCGACGATATGCGCGTGCAGGAAGCACAGGAACAGGCGCGATTAGCTGAACAGCGCTTCGGTAAAATGAAGGCAGCCTACGAGAAGTTCCGAAATGAACATGTTTTGGTTTGTGGCTTTTTGTTATGAGATTGCGCATTGTACTATTGCGTTGTTTTTTCAGGCTCTAACGAAGTTGGGAGAGTTACAAAAAGAGTTTGAAGCAAGTGAGAAGAGCAGAATGGACAAGGATGAAGAGGTTATTTTTGCATAGGCTAAGCTCATTTCGCAAACTTATTCCGTCGCTTACAGTTAACAAGTATGAGCAGAAAACTTGAAGAGAGTGAGAAAAACCTTGCGGCAGTTTCGTCCAAAGCGGAAAGTCACTCAGGAGCAGTGGATGAACTACGGTCGCAACTAGCGAAGGCCGACATTGAAATGGAACAATTGCGCCAGGTATGTGAACTATCCTATGGTCTAATTTCAGAATAAGTTTGGGAGTGTCCTTCGGATTCTAATATTTTCTCTCATCTACGGTTCTGTATGTTTCTCATCGCCAATTTGACTATGTTTGGGGTTCTACGTTGGTTTCTGTGTTATTAGACGCTTTTTGTGAGTTTTAATTTTTTTTGGTTCACTACAAGGCCTATTTGTTTCCATATTCCATATTGTGGTCTAGCTCTATTCTTATCGATTTGAAACTCTCTTCATGAACTACCCTATACGAATTCTAATAGTTCCGCTATATTCCGACTGACTTAGAGTCTCGAGCATCTCAAGGCCGAGCACAAGTCCGAATTGGTTAGTGCCTCAGATCGTTTCGTCGACGAAAAAGCTGCAATCGAGAAGAAGATAAACGGTGAGGGACGCGTATCATTTGTTGTTCTTTTACCTTACGTATTTTACCATGTCCCCCACTCATTATAAAAAAACCACGATATGGCTAAAAGAGCTCCGCTTTTCAACAGTGGAATAGGTGTAATTGTTATCGGGGACGCCGACCTGTCTAGTGATAAGCCACCGTCCATTCTCTTATCTAAGCATTATTCCGTAGAATTTTCTCAGAATGGCTCAATTATTCTTCATAGCCTTTTTGGAAATGATCTGTTTTTTTTGTGAATACGTCGTGACCATTTTTTTAACTACTGATGGCTAATGTGTTTTGTTGGTGCGATGCCTAGACTTTCCTTTCTGTTCGGTTAACAGTTCAAGGGTTCCTCCTTCTATTTTTTTGTAGACTATCTTCTTCTTGGTTTGAGTTTTAGGGCTGTTTGATTTTAGTAGCACGTTTTGTTATGGGAATGACGGAATTTTCGGAGGCTCGAATTGGCAGTGACGCATGGTTAAAAAAAATGAGGTTAAAATAATCGCCATTAATGGCGACAATAACCCCTTTCTGGGGAGCGGCACGCATTTTACTTCAATTCGGAATCGTAGCGGCTTACTGAATGCGATACAATGACTTGCAAGGGCCAGCCGATGTACAAGTCAGTGTTATTATCCTCCCAGACAGAATCTGGTGCCAATCCGTCCCCGGAGGGTGGAAGGCTTGGTTGACCTGAGCGGGAGCCGATCCAGAATTTGATAAGCGGACTGTACGCGCGGAAAGCGTGCCTCTTGCAACTACAACACCTTCGCCTTGACGCACACGATAATTATCAGGACTGAACAGTAGACTCAATAACACTGTGAACAGTCTCCAACTTCTCTCTTCGTATAACCTCGGCATTGTTGTAAATTTGATGTTCTAATACTTCTGCGCCAACGAAGTTTGTAGAATGGTCGAAACGTTAGGCCGTACATAAAGTTCCACCTACAAACCTCGTTGGCGCAGAAGTATTAGAACACTGTGAATAGTTAAACTATTCGATCATTTGATAATACTTATCTGATGCATAAAAAATTATTATCAATTGATCGTACAGTCTCAATGTTCACAATGCTGTTAGTTCTACTGTTCGTAACGCTTCAGACAAGTAGTTCAATGTCTCAATGTGAGCGCTTGAAGTATACGGTTCCACTAACCTGAAATTTTTGGCTTGGGGCTCCTAAGATGCTCCATTCACTCGTTGACCTGTTACTGTTTTCTGTAGACTTCTTTAGCTGGCTGAACAGCTTGAACATTTTTTCATTCTGCTGCTATAGGAGGAATTCGCGCTGCCGTGTCAACGATTCTTCTCCGCTGCGATGAAGAGCTTCCCAATGTCACCTCCATATCGTATCCTCCACGTAAGTTCCTTTTTATATAAAAAGGATAGCCGTCCTCTGTTTTACAAGGTGTCATTTTTCCTCTTATTTTTCACCGTGTTTTCATCATTGTCATTTACAGATCTTGCACAGTCTGCACTGAATGTTTTCTTGACGCTGTTGAATGAAAAGGATTCCCCAGCGGTCACCGACTTGATAGTATTGGCACACTCTTGTGTTTTGACGGTTAATGGATGTGCTGCTGCTGCTTATACGGCCTCTATCCAGCACTTTGATGGTGAGTCCGTTTTGAGTTTATGCGGCTACCTTACTCTAAATTTGCAAACTTATTTCTATTCTTTCTGTAATTTTACACTGCAGATGTCAATGAACAGTGTCATCTTGTTGGTACGTACAGCAAGGGAAGCCTTCGCCTCTCAGGTTCTGAACATTGAACAGTTGAAGACGGAAGCAAAGAAACTCCAGGAAATGATGACTGGATTGCCTCTACAAACAGATGTGGACAAGGTCAGTCGGCCTGCACAATTGTTTTCTTCTAGTGAACTTCGTGCTCGTCTAAGGTAGTTTTTCATAAGCCATAGAACGGGCTTTGCTTTGGTTACCATGAATGGAATTAGTTGTTGCTCAAGTAATTGGTGTTCGTGCTCCCTTATGCAAGTGGTCGAGCCTCCCAAAGCTCAATGTGAATGTCCCATCTGACTCCAAAGAGAGTGGAGGAGGCCGTCTCAGTGCCATCGTAAACTTTTATAAGGTGACACCCGCTTTGGACGCGCCTCCTAAAAAGGTTTCTTTTACAACTTAACCAAGGAGCGCGCAGTTGTAGTTTGTTGTAGCGGTGGGCCTAAACTAAACTGCACTTGCATTTTCACCGTCCACACTCTTGCTTATGAACAAGTATGAGCGAAGTATGCTCTGACAGTGACAGGAAATGATTCACTTCACCTGAGCTGGTAAATAAAAGTTTGTGAATCGAGTAGTTTTCCGAAGCTTATCTACGAATGTGTTGTTTGTACGGGGTACTGATAACAATTTTTTCAAGAGCAAATTATTAGAGGAGTGGTTGTGTTTGATCCTCTCACAAGTGGGACCGCCTATGTATCGTTTGAAGTACTTTGCCCAGAAAATATGCTTGAAAGAAAGGTGTCCTGGTGAAAAGCGAAAAAGGTGAGGCTAGACTACACCCATTTTCTGCTCGTCTGTACATTGCCGGTATCAGCCAGACTACCAGAGCCATCTCATAGACACAACCAGTAGTAAGGGGGGGGGGAGGATATGGTTGCTGCCAACTCTCCAAGTGCCTTAGCAGCTGTGAATATGAACTTATGGCTAATGCAATCGTTGCAGGATATCGTTGGAGCTGAGCTTGAAAGTGAAATGATGCGTATGAGTGAAGCGATTCGTGCAGCTGTGGAAGAAATTGAAAAGATTCAAGAGAGGGCACGTATCAATACGGAGGGAATCAGGTAAGATTTGTGCATCTTTGTTTCATAAGCTCCAATAGTAAACTAGCGGACTTTTTGAGGTTATGCTTGTGCATGACAAAATAAGTATATGGTGTTTGTTGTCAGGCGGCGTTCATACTTTGCGTCGCCAGCGTTTCGAGCTTACGCCAGCGCCCAGCGATAGCTGCACTTCTCCGGCTGGCTGGCAAAGTGTAGCTATCGATCTAACGTACGCCAGCGTACGCAGCGTTTCGAGCCTAAGAAAAAATGGATATTGATCTAGCTTTCCGAGTTTTGCTCAAGCTCAATGGCACGCAAAAACGCTCAAAACGCCAGCGTAAGCGCAAAACCATAGATCAATAATCGATACTTTCATAGCCGCTCGGAACGCAGCCGTACGCTGACGCAAACTGTAAAGGCAGCCACAATCATCAAAAACCTTTCCTCTGTTCTGTTTCAGTTTTTCGATACATTGGGTAATAAAGATCTATATATCTAACCTTCCAGGTTGGAAGTGAATGAGGCCATTCTTGGATGCTGTCAGCAACTAATGTCTGCTATCATGGCATTGGTTATATCTTCTCGAGAACTCCAAATGGAAATTGTTGCAGCTGGCAAAGGCGGTGCTTCCCCACATGAGTTTTACAAGCGAAACCATCAGTGGACGGAGGTACACCTAAATAGTCCCTGACCCAGTTTGAAATAGAAGATCTTCTGATTAAGGGCCTTCTGTCCGCGGCTAAAGCTGTTGGCGTAGCTGCACGTGTGCTGGTGGAGTCTGCTGACGGTGTGGTGACCAGGCAAGGTTAGAGTCCTCTGGGTATATTGGAATAGCATGTGCTTAATTATTGCCCTTATTTCAATTTGATGCATGTTTTTGAAGGAAAATTCGAACAGCTTATTGTCGCGGCTCAAGAGATCGCAGCATCAACGGCACAGTTGTTTGTGTCTAGTCGCGTTAAAGCTGAAAGAGATTCTCAAAAGTATGCCTTGCAATTTTCACGCCTTTGGCTTTATGTGTTCTTCCTCATTTTATGCCTATGGTCTATGTAATGCACTTTAGGCTTGCTGCCTTATCAGTTTCATCCAAGAACGTTAACCAATGCACTGCTCAAGTGGTGGCTGCCGTGAAAAATGCGCAGACCACACTGAATGATCAAGGTACCACTTACGTTATCTTGGATTCATTGATTGAAACTGTAATTGGTCCCTCATGTCGGGGTGCTTAGTTGTCGATGTCCTCAAATCGAAGGGATAGCTTGTCCCAGTGACCAGAGGGCATTTCAGGCAGTATGAGTGTGCCGCGGCGCCAAACTCGTTCTCTACCAGTTGCTGAAGCTACAGCAATTGGTAGGAAACGAGTGATACGTATGAGATAATACAGTTTTGTCACTTACTCGCTTCAACTACTGGTGAATAACGGACATGGCCCGCGCCAAGCTTATCCCACCGGACAAGCCCCTTCGTCCGCAGCGATCTAGACAATAGGTTGTTTCAGAGTATATTGTAAGTGTTCCGTTGAAGGGAAAGGAGGGAAGGGGGAAAACAAAGAAGAAGCTCATCGCGCGCGTTCACGTCGCACACCTGGCAGGGTATTTGGAAGACCGGGGTACATTCTCTTGATATGTTTATCTACGTGAGACGCAAGCCATAGCTTCCGCCGTTATGACCTAGAGCTCAAGAAAGTGCAGTATTTGAGTACTGAAGCAGCTACGTTTTCCAGGGTTGACCCACTTGCCTACAGGTTCTAATAGAGTGTGGTTTCGCTGGTAGAAGACTAACAGCTTTTCCAGAAACGTCGCAGTCCTTTTCATGATTTGGCTCCCTGACTATCAAAAGCGTTTGAACTCCAACCACACGGGTTCGACGGGTTGTACACCCTTCCCCTCCCGTCCCCCTCCCACCCTTCCCCATCCCCCGCCTTTTCATTTCATCTGCGGAAAACAAGCTCAT